GAAATACAATAAAAATCCATGAAATACATTATTTAAGTCACTCGCATATGACGAACATGTTGTTTTGTTTGATATCGATGAAGTCATGCTTTTATATATTTCACTTTAAAAAATTGCTATTTGTTAGATAAAATGTGTCTAAAACATAATAATCTTACCAGATACTCTGAAAGCTAGAATGTAGAACGCCTTGTGACAGTGTGTATAAAGACAACAGAGCAAGGGGAAAAAGCGGATTTGGGATTTTATAGATTCTAAAATCTAAAAAAGATTTGTTTTTGACTTTACGCGATTTTTTTGGGATTCTTCGGGATTTTTGGATATTTTTTTAGATTCCTGAAATTTTCTTTTCGAACTTTTAAACTTCTCCTTTCTTGTCTATCATTCGAATGCCGTATTTCCTATTGTAAAACAACGTTCTATAACCACCAGATACATTATTTGGAATAATTTGGTTGTCGTCTCTCATTCACCACAGTGGCATTCTTCAAGGATTTTGACTAGGCACCTCGTCAAAGTGCATGTAAAAAGGTGTCGAAAAACGTTCAAAGTGTGCTACTTTTTAGGGCTATTCTATGGGGTACTCATAGTTCCTCATGCCCTATCCTATGGGTCACTCATAGTTCCTCATGGACTATCTTATGGGTACCCATAAGTCCTCAAGCGCTGTCCTATGGGGGTGCCCATAAGTCCCCTTGCCCTATCCAACGGGACACCTATAGGTCCTCATACTCTATTGTATGGGTACCCATAAGTTCTCATGGCTTATCTTATGGAATATCCATAAGTGCTTATGGCCTATTCTATGCAGTTATCATAAGTCATCATCGCCTGTCCTATGAAGGTACTCATAGGTCCTCGAGTGCTTTCCTGTGGAGCTACCCATAAATCTTCAAGCGATTTCCATGAGCAGCACCCATAAGCTCCCAACGGCTATCGAGGTTTGGTATCGTTAACTTTTCAAGGACTGGTTTGCAGTAGTTCTGGTTACTCTTCAAAGGTTATCCCATGGAAGAGTGCCGGGTACTGCTGACTGTTCAGGAGATATCTAGCGTTAGTCGTCACAGGTTTTCAAGGGTTTTTAATCACAGGACTTGGCAGACAATAATAAGGATGCTACTCGTACGTCATCTAGTAGCTGAAGTTGAATGTGGTACGGGACTGGTGTAAGGGTAATGTAAGAATCGTGTACCTGATTTTTCCTTAAAGAAGTAAAAGTGGACTGTTCTTCTTAGCTCAGCATCATTGAGTCACCTAAAGGAGTAGTTTTACTTCACAATTAGTATTACGTCGACGAGATTGCGTTTCACAAGTTTGGGTCAATTTTGAGTTACTCTTTTATCAAAGATCGGTTCAACGTTTGGTTCATGACACCTTCAGCTCCACGGCTTCCGAGAGCTCAATCGAAGAGGTGCTAGAGAGTAGCATCTCATGTGAACGAGAGCTGGCTGATCATCTCCACCACGGCAAACTGAACTGGGGCTCTCGCACACTTATAAGCGCCATTGTAAGGCAGCCGTTGCGGATCTATGGGTACCGCCATAGAATAGGCCATGAGAACTTATGGTGGCTCCCATAGTATAGCCCTTGAAGACTTGTGAGTACCCTATAGGACAGGCTATGAGGACCTCTGGGTACCCTCATAGAATAGCCCTTGAAGAATTATGGATACTCCTATAGGATAGCCCTTGAGGACCTATGAGTACCCCCATAGAACAGCAGTTAAGGACTTACGGGTACTCTCATAGGATAGCCATTGAGGACTTAAAACTGCCTATTTATGTTCGAAACACTTGAGAATATGATCGAAAAATATTGCTGAAAACTACTTTCGATTTTGGATTTTCGGGTTTTTTGGGATTTCTTGAGATTTCTTGGGATTTTTTTGAATTTTCTCGGGATTCCAATCCAAAATAATCCGCTTTTTCCCCTTTGTAGGTAGATAGTTTTTGTTCTTTCTTTTTCATTTTTTCTGATTTTTGTTGTTTTTCTTTGCTGTTTTTTCCTATAAAATACGATAAACTAATGTCCTCTGAAGTCCCAGTTGGTGTGATAACAATCATAACAAGTGACGTGTCTAGGTAACTGACGATGACAGATTTATTTTTTGCTATGACTCAACCTATTGTCTCTCATTATAAGATTCTGTGCAAAACCTCTGAAGTACGACAAAAATCCTGAAAATCCTGTAAAAATCCATGCAATCCCGTAAAAATCCATGAAATCTCGTGAAAATCCAGAAATCCCACGAAAATCCTAAAATCTTCTGGAAATCTTCTGGCAATCCGCAAAATCCTAAAAATACGAAAGAAATCCTAAAAATACGGAAAAAATCCTGAAAATCCCGAAAATACGCAATCCGCCGTTTCCCCCTTGACGTCATCTCAAAGATGAAAACAATGGATGTCTTCAATTTGATCATAGAACTTCATTCTCGCATTCAAACAAGTATTTTGTAACTTTTGCTTCTTAAGATCATTGTAACAGAAAATGACAACTTTTAATGCGTAGTTCAAGACAGAAGAGAAGAAGAACTCGCAAAGAACTTCATCAACTAGATCAATCAAGGATGCGGGTAAGGAGAAACAACAAAATTCAAGAATAGATTGGATTTTCATACAGTTTTTAAGTTCCATCTATCAGTGGATAGCTGGCGGATATACAAGTTATATTCTTAATGAGATAAAATATTGACGTATTTGGATCAGTTAAGATTATGCTTTTATACGCTACAAATCGGCTTAATAAACAAATAACAGATTGCCGATTGATTAAGAATCTCAAATTAAAAAGAAATTCAAATCAATAGCATCATGTATTGATGAGAACTGAATCCCAACATTGTTGCATCGCGTATTGTTTATGGTGATTTCGATGGTCTGGGTGCCGATGTGCAAGTCGATGAAGCTAGAAATTCACATCTATTGCTTCTTCCTCATCCACTCCCCACTTTGTACTTCTCCTGGACACTTCATCAAAAAAAAAGAATTATTGCACAATGTGTAGAATAACGAAATAGAATGGATATTTAATAGAAAGATTCTAGACTGAAAACGTTATTGATGTAGTACAAATAAAGCTACCAACAAAGTATTTCGGTGAAATTGGTTTTATTATTCACACATATACATAGTCTGATTTAATAGTATTGGTAGAAGGGTTTATTGACTTATTCCTCTAGTTTTCGCTGAAAATTATAATTAAAAATGAAAAAGGCGGTATACTATGAAAAAATCGGTGTGTCAGTATTTTGCTGAATACCGACATAAGTATAGTCAGTGACCGCCATGCTATAAATGATTTTCGGTGTCAATTTAGTCCCAGTGACAGTGACTTCAGTAAAGTATAGGTCACTGCTCAGTAAACCATTCCTCGCTGACATCAGTTATTAGTAAATCAAAGCTGCATATTACAGTTTGGAGTCACACCAATCCACAGCCTATATTCAATTTTCTCGTTCTAATTCATGTTGGTTCACTGTTGTTGATTGATTTCCATCGCCATAAATGCCAAATAGATCTTTTGAATTTTTCATGGCAAAACCTTTATAATTATTTTCCTCGCCTGCATACAATCTCATCAACAGTGGTAAATAAATCTTCATATTTTCTGTCATCTTGATTGATCGACCGAAGTCTCTTTTCGACAAATGTTTGTTCGTTCGGTAAAATTGTTCAATCGATTCAATCATTCGATTGTATTTTGGCCTTATGTTTTGTTCCATTTCGTCGATTCTCTTTAATGTTTCTGTATCATCTTTAAACAATGCTTTCAAATCATCCGCATTCTCGTTAATGATAGCTTCGAATAATGATCTTGGAGAGTTCGCATTTTCACCATCGCGATGAATCATAAGATATTTTTGTGTTTTGATTTTGACAAGATAGGATGGTCGATCTGATTGGATAATCTCAATAACATAGCCTTCACCATGAGGTTGTTGATAAATATCTTGGAGTAATTGTTTGTGTGTTACATCAGGTGGAATGGATTCAAAGGGAACGAGATGATCGAGAATTGTAGGGAAATGATTTTCAAGAAGAAATTTTTTCAATTGAGTACCGAACAAAGTGTGTCCGTCGGTATGTGATCGAATAGATAGAACAGTGAGTTGAGCTTGTGGATAGGAAACGAAAACATGATTGGAAGGCGATGTATATTCCATATCGACTGTATAGTTGAGACGAACCAATTTTTCGAGTTCGGTTTTAAAGTCATCTTAAGAAAAGAAACAACCAAGATATAAAATACACATAAATTATGTTTTGATTTTCTTAGTGATTGCCCTCGCTGTGTTTTTGTACGCTTTTTCTCGCATTGATTCTTTCGTCATCGTTGTCCGTGTACTGTGAAAAGGAAAAATACATCATATTCTAGTCTTTTGCATATCAAAGAGAAAGAAACACTTTCTTGTGTTCAACTTGTATTTTTGTTCGAGAATGAGCAGTTACACACACAGAAACTTTCTAAGTAAAGGGCTAAAACCCTTTAAGTCGCCCCGTTCTTTCGGTATGTCCTTGAGAATCAGAACAATCTGTCAGCTGGAAAAAAATCATAAGATACTTCTAACTATGAATTAGATCGATTTGTCAACATAACCATAGAAATTAGTCTCGTGGAAGGATCAAGTTTTTCAAGCAAAAACGTGATTTCGTCACAATGAATTATTGTCAGATTCACATTCTTGATACATCGTTCAAAGTTATGCTGCATTTGTGGTGATTCTGTCAGGGCTTACTGTTTTATCTACAGAATCTAGACAAAAGCTTCAAACTTAATGAAATTTTTGTAGAATGTAAGGTATTTCGATCTAAGTAGTCTATGAAATCTCCGGAGCTGGCGACTTTGATTGTATCGAGATAAATTTCTTCAAGCAGAAAAATGTGATTCGTTCACGTAGGAACAGCCCAAGACTGTTTTCATGTGCATTTTCCAAAACTCATGAAGATGAATCTTATTTAATCAAACAAAAGAACTTTATGCTTAAATATATTATCAATTTACATACCAACAAGTAGTTGCATCGCTTCCACAACTTGCTTTGATGTCAATGATTGTTTTGATTTGAGTCGAAGTTCTTTCGAAGCTGTTCCATGTAAAAATGTTGATATCAATGTGCCATCCATTTTCTCCATTTTGTCCCCTAATCGACCACGTTCATGATATTGTTTTTGACCAAAACCTTCTTCATAATTAAAAAATTTCTCTAGTGGTAAAGAAACAAGTTGTACATTTTTCGGATTCGTCATGTTGAACATCGTTCCACGACAATTCAAGGCTGCTGTACGAGACTGAAATGTTGCGTAAGAACAGAGACGATAATTGAATATACGATATTTAACTGAATATAAACGAATATCTTTGTAATAGAAAGTATCATCCAGAGAACAAAGACTCATTAAATCATCATAGAGTGTATCCATGTTTGTTGTAATTGAGGTAATAGTCATGATAGAATTTAAACATGAAAAAAGATGAAGTTCTGCTACTTATATTATCTTTCACATTGTAATTTCACAACGAATGGATATTGCGAAACTTTCTAGTGAAAATGGAAAGAAAAATGGATGATTACTCATTTATGCACATGGTAACATTCGTCATTCTGTTACTAAAATGCATTTAAGAAAAAAAGAACAAGAAAAAAAGGGAAGACTAATCAGATGATGATGATGATGAAAGTCTTGAGATCAAAAGCTGAAGATACAAGAAGTAATTTTCAAGGTCATAAATTTTGAAAATTATTGTACCGTGCGCAAAAGTGTCAGCCAATTCTCATTTCTTCTATATCGTTTTCACATTTATTTTCGATTATATGAAAGTCCAATATATATATTTTGATTTAAAATAAAATTCGACAATTTTGTACAAGCTGTTATTCGCGGTCGTGGTATTCTATTTTGAAAACTCTCCATCCTTCAAAATAACATACTGTAAGTTCATTATATACAGTAAATATCAATATAAGTTATAAATACTGTTGTGTGCAAGTTGCAAAGTCTTCATTTCGTTTGTCATTAGTGCTATCAAGTACAACCTTTTGAAAATTTGTCGGATATGAAATGTTGAAAAATGTCAGATACGTGCATACCTAAATAAAAGCAAAAGTCGATTTCGTGCAAAGTCTCTGTTTGAACATTCCGATGTGACACGTCACTTTTTGAGATAGAAGCATCCTTTGTTATAAAGTAACGCATCTCACCTATCATTGTGAATATTACAGTATCTGAAATTATACTTTCACAGAATTTCAATACAGCCAATGAGATCGTTTCTCTTTTCCATGCATTTGCCTGTTTGGATTGCCATCAAATTTGGAAAAAATCATTGGCAAACTCATCTAGCAAAACGTCAGTCATCGTTCTGGCACATTGATCTATAGCTATGCTAGAGAGACATTTTTCTTCTTCCTTTTTTATGAAACAACGCAAGATAAACTGCATGTATTAATGGCATATTCGTATCTTTTCTAATTCGAGTGTAGGATGCGGGCGTGGGTGTGGGTGACAAGAAGATCTCATTCACACCCACACCTAGCCATACCACACATCCACACTAACACACTCACTCTCACTTAGTTTTGTGCCGGCAAGTTATGACCCATCAAACCAACACTCGACCGAACTTGATCAATCATTTATGCATACACAGATATTCAAAGAAATTCTTCTTGAAATGAAATATGACGAACAATCGATTAAAGACCTCGCCATCTACACCCATAATGGTAACTATGGCGAGTTGAATAGTGTTAATAGATTCGAATCGTAATAACACGATCGGACACCTATCTGGCGGTATACTTATGAAGGTTTTCTATATTCGATGACCAATCAAGCATTGCACACTGTGGAAATTGATGCCATCATTAAGATGGACTTCTTCGTTTGTGATCTTCATCATCACATCGAACAACTTCATCAGAAACAGTTTAATGGTCAACAACAGTCACAGTTTAGTGTTCGTTGTGGTCAAAGCTTATTTAAGGTGGACTTTGAAAAATTGATCAAAAGTATACATGAACTTATGTTATTTAACAATTTCTTGTCGACAAGTAAAGATTGAGACGTGTCTTTTGTTTGCTGCCAGTAATAAAATCAGCCTCGATGTAATAGACATTCTCTTTGAAATAACTGTTGGCTCATCAGTTTCATCCGTATCTTTCGCCTTCGTTGGCGGTTCCGAGGCCTTCGACGCAGAAAATGTAATCCTTTTCTCAATGCATACCATTTTTCACATTGAAAACATCAAACAGATAGATAATGAGAACAATCGACTCTGGCACGTGAAACTCAAACTCACGAGTGATGCGGACCAGCAGCTTAGTGTTCTCACTAAACTGGTGCGAGAAGAGACATATCCAGGATCATCAAACTAGTATTGAATAGGTAAATTACTAATTTTACTAGACGAGTCAAACAGGGCAGAATATGTTTGTAGATCTGTTTTCGATCGAACGCGGTAGAGTGTGGCTGACTGTGGGTGGCTGAGTGTGAACGTGGCTTCAATAAATGGTTATCAAAACCAAACCTGCAAACACACCATATTTGTTTTCATTATATCGGGTCCTATATCAGTAGAAGGAGAAGATATACGCAATTCAAAGTCTACGGATATATAAGATGAATCCAACAAATCGGATTTGGTAGACTCACGAAATCCATTTCAAATGGCATCTGTCCTATGTTTATATGACTTAATATATTTGTTATCTGGGTCCTTCTTTTAGATACATTCAAACTAAACCTTCAATCATTAAAAGATAAAACAATGTATTCATTTCCTGAGTTCACTCTCATTTTATGTCTTCCACATGATACAGAAACCTTATCATTTTTACAAAAGTGATTTTTACTCATATCTCGAGTAGTAATACTTGCTAACTTGATATATGACATTGAATACGTAATACTGTTCTAAGAAAAATTGTAACTCTCTTATACTGTCGAATTTTTTCTTTCTCAATCCAAACATCGAACATTTGCAAATATCATTGATTATTCATACTACAAGAAGTGAGAAAGGACAGCAACAGCCTACTTGTCAATAAACAAGCTCTTATTTTATTAGCTCTGTATGCATCGTTTGATGATGAGACTCTGATATGATTTCTTCAATAAAAAAAAACAATGCATGCACGAGACTGAAAGACAAAAAATGTTGTTTGAATAATAAATCCGATCGATAAAATAACATTGCAAATGAAAGAGAACGAATAACCGTTGTAAACAATGAAATATGAATGGTTGTTAAAAACTTGTCTCTATATGCATTTTTTACTGATACGAATATATGAAGATCAAATAAATCAATAGAAAATCGAGTACGAATCAAACCGAATTGTTCGGAATCAAGTTGAGTGGGTTCATAAATCATAAACTTGAAGTTTTCATTATTCTTTCATTTTTTCCAATGTGAGCTACTATTAAAATTTGAAGAAATCTTTAAGTGATTTCAACTTTTTTTTTATTGACCATGCGCCTACACATGTTGATTTTACATGTTCATATGATAGGAAAGTGGTGTATGTTTAACGAATGAATTTTTAGCAATGAAATTCGAAAGAAATAATAGAAAATTTATTCGAATCGATTCGTAGCTTTTTAGATATCAATGAGGAAATATTTAGTTGGCTATGCATACATTTTGAGCTAGATAGAAGTATGGTTGGGAAAAGTGGAAACAGTACGCATAGGATATCATATATGTCTTTTGGTAGAAATGATTTAACTTTGTTCTTTCCCTCACAATCCCACAGATCTCTCGAGTGAGATATTAACCGAACTGATTGATACAAAGACTCTTCATCGTTAGATGCAAAAAAGAATGGAATTGGCAAATTCTGATCTAGATATTCGAATTTTTCACCATATTCGAAGCATTCTTGTAGATTCCGATGTACAGCTACAGTATATCATGGACAGTTAATGTCCAAATCGGCCATTGTTCAATGTACTCAATTTAATTGTGGTTAGAAGTTTGAATTTCTTTTATTGGACAGGTTTTGTTTGTAAGATACTGAGAGTGCTCAAAGAGAATTGAAATGAGAACCAAAATCACTCTTACCTTCCTCAATATGTCACATGGTACAGTTTTCGATCAGCTATTCGAATCCGAGATAAAATATTTGATTGCAGTGATATGACATCGAAATTTTCTCAGAATTATATAAGATGAAAAAATTCTAATCTTTTGCTCTGTTTACAGTAACAACAAGACTTGTGTAAACGAAAAACGATCGATAAGAAGAATTGTGTATATGATATTCTCGAAATTAGACACAATGTGCAGATTCTTGTTTATTTTACATTAGAAAACAAATAAAATAACGTTAAAGAGGTTTCTTGACTTCGGTTGTCAACTGTATATAGTAAAATATACAGTAGAACTATTACCCATGTTATGACTTCTCATTACATTCGGAGAAGCTTACAAAAAAAAAAGATTTGCAGCATAACACATATAATTCGAGATTAATAATGAAATATGAACAAATAATAATGGCGCGTTGTTTTTCCTTAGAAAGATTTTGCCCATTGGCCAGCATGCCAGTTATTATGTTCTCGCATTTGCTTTTTGGTTCGAAATGCTTGTCCAACTACATTATGTGCAATAAGAGCATTGACCGAATCCAATGCATTTTCCGGAGATGGCAAATGACCACATGAAGCTTCGGCCACAGTCACTGCTCTGTCAGGTTTTGGCCGACTGGCACGAACAAAACCCGGATAGAATGTCAGTTCTACTGATCCAGTTACATTTGCACACAACTCTCGAATAACATTGATGTAGGCTACCGTTGTTGTGTTGTGTAATCCACCACGTACTATATCTTCTGCCAGTTGAGCATTGAAGCGAAATAGTTCTTGATGCATTCGAGGTGGAACAGATGCAGCTCGCAACCGAGACATCGCTTCTCGAAGTGCATCAACACCAGGCGTCAGATTCCATTCAATTTCACCTTTTCCACTAGGTCGTGATTCAACAGATGCTTTCCAAGGTAGACCATATTGCAAACCAATCTTGTTTAACTCTCCGACGAGTTTCACAAAATTCAATCGTTGCCCATCGATAGCTACTGGCCGAGCTTGTTCGAAATACAACACCACTGTTCGAGGTGAAAGCGTTGTCGACAGTTGAACCGGGAAGTCGTAGTTTAGGTGACTTCGAGTGCCATCTTCTTCTTCCTTTTTCAGAAATGTTTCGTCCCCACTTGCACATGGATCATCTTTTTCAGATCGAGTTGACAAATCTTGGCCAGTGCAAAGTCGAATGACATCGAGACAATCTTGACGTTTGAATATTTCTTCCCAAAAGAAAATCGGTGACCATAATGGTTTATTGCCAAGATATTCATAAGCAGCTGTCATGAATCTGAGATTGTTGTTCTGATTCTTTGCTGATCCGGTCAAATAGACTTGTG